ACTAGTCATCACTATTTAGCTAACATTAACTGCATTATAGGTGCTTAACAATTGCTATTTAAAGGTGTATCATTTGTCATACATACCTTTGTTTTGGAGAATGGCCCTGCAAATCTCCACAAGCCACCAAAGCCAAAAGCTGTGAAATACACGTAGTGTGATTTATAGTTATAATAAGTTTATAACTTACACACAGTCAGCACTGCCACAAAACCTAAGAGTGTAATTCACAGATTCTGAAATAAAAACTACAATACTCTAAATTTTTTTAGGTTCCTGATGCTTTAAGTTAAAGGCATATTGACAATCAATAGATTATAATGACATTAAGTCTACAGTTGAAACAATGAACGTCATATCAACTGTTTGCAGGTGTGAAGTCACCACAAAAACCACACTACCATTAAGACCTGCCCAAGACTAAGACAAGACGTACTTTGTAGGTAGGAGGGCCCATGTTGGCTGGCATCTTCGTGGGAGATGACGTTCTGTACAATACTCTGTACAGCATTGAGGATGACTTGGTCTTGGCACAGGGACAGCATTGTGTTGATTTTGGCATCAAGTAGACTATGTCTGTGGTCAGGGGGACAGAAAAAGTTTGGAAAATGTTATTTCTTCACAGAAATTAAAGAAGGAAACAAAACTTGCTTACCCTGATAAAATATCGAAAAGCATACTATTGGCTTCTTCCAAAAAAGCAAAGTCAGCCAAGGAAAGCACACTTACACAATAGGAAACACCTTGGGGAATACCACACTGGCTTCCGCTAGGTATTCATACAGGATTCTCTCTTCAGACTCATCATTGGTGTATTTCACCAACGTTGCCTGGAAATGGAAACAGACAGTTTTGTCAGTTTGTCGCAAAACACAGTAGAGTATCGTAGTGATGGAATTATATGGAATTCACAGAAAAAATTTAACAGGATTTTAGCTTTAAGTAATGTTGACAAAAAGGTGTACAAAGATGGAAAGTACTTACTAGCACAGTGAGCAGCAGTGCCTGTGTCTGCTGGTCTGTTAGCACCTCCTCATCCAACAACAGGTTGTTTTCTGACAGCGACGGTTTCCTGCTGCCCCCCCTGGCCGCTACTTCTGCCTGTTCCGCTACGCGCCTCACCTTCGGCGGCGAGCTCTGCTCCACGTCACCCCCGCTTGCCTCGTGTTTCGGGGACCCGCCGCCGCTAGCCTCGGGCAATCGCGGCGACTTCTGCCCGACAAGTTCGAAGCTTTTCTGTCTCTTTGTAGCCAGGCCGGCGTCCGTGCTTAGTGACTTGTGAGCTTTAGTGTGGGAGGGCATGGGTGGGGTGTGG